AGTATAGCAGCAGGGATGGATGAACAGGCTCTTTTAGGGCTAAATCCAAATGCTGATTCAGACTTCAGACAAAGGGTAAGTTAAGTTGGCTTAATTTTTAAAAGCATGTTACATTAGAGGACTTGAATACAAAATACATCCAATGTTAAGGCTTTAATGTGGATGGAAGTGAATACAGATAATAAAATTTGAGGTGTTTGAATATATTCTGAATACAGAACAGTGAGGTTATGATTATTTTCTGTTTAGTTGGCTCAGCAAAAAAATTAAAATCTCATGATTTAAGGTAGATCTTTATGTCACATTAATCATTATTGATATTTACCTAAAAGTTCTAATGCAAAGGATTGTTCAAGGGACTTTCTAGAGTAGCAGACATGCATATTTTATTTTTCCATTTCATGGCTCAGTCTACACAAGTTGTTTAACCCTTGCATCAGTGATATTTGACATCCTTGTTATTTAGTCAAGCAGACATGTAAATGAGCAATTATGATAATGCTATGTCTTGGGCTACTTAGAGAGATCACATGACAAGGAATCCAGTATGAAGTGCTGGGATATTTGAGTAAACATAAACATAATGTAGTCTACATCTATAATTATGACTATAGCTAGATGATAAAAGAAGAATCTAAAGAACAAGCCTATAATTAAATGGAAAAACGTGGGCAGTTTGAAGTATGGGATAACTAGGAAGAGAGGCATTTTCTTCTTTCTACTTCTCATAGCAAAATATTTTTTATAAGTGAGCTAATCGAGGTTAACAGTCTCACTAAATGTTACAACACTCTTAGTTGTGCTTTTAAGCAGAACTCTTTTTCATATATTTTTATTGATTTTTAGAGAGGGAGGGAGGAGAGAGAGAGACATCTATCAGCTGCTTTCTGCATTCCTCCCACTGGGAATTAAGCCCGAAACTCCTCGGGCATGTGCCCTGACAGAGAAACACATCCGCGACTTCTCAGTACATGGGATGATGCTCAACCAACTGAGCCACACCTGCCAGGACTAAGAAGTTTTTTTAAGTAGTAAAAAAAATTTCTAGTACTTTATAACACAGCACTATGTGCATGCCTCTGCTGTTAAATAAGTGATCAGCACTACAGATACAGGGAAGTAATAAGAATTGAGAATTAAATAGCTAGCTAATTACAAGATACCTAGCCAGCTGGTTAGGACATCAAAAGACATTAAAAGTCCATGTCTTGCCCTGGCCAGTTTGGCTCAGTGGTTAGAGCGTCGGCCCACGGACTGATGAATGGTAGGTTCAATTTTGGTCAAGGGCACATACCTCGGTTGCGGTTGGTCCCAGGCCTGGTGGGGACCACGCGGGAGGTAACCAGTCGATGTGTCCCTCTCACATCGATGTCTCTGTCTGTCTCTCTCTCTCCCCCTCCCACTCTGTTTGAACAAAAATGAAAAAATGTCCTCATGTGAGGATTTAAAAAAAAAGTCCATGCCTTCTGTATATAGACAGATATTTGTTTTCATGGGAGTTTAAACTACCCACTTTCAAATCTTTAGTTACATAGTTGAAACATCCTAGATCTTTACCTTTATTCTAGCTTGGTATTGCATGGTTATTGTAACTAAAAGCCTTTTGAGTATTTAGTTGTTAGTTTTCTGTTATTCCTTTATGGGTTTTTTTGGATTTTTTTTTTTAATTCCACCATCTGATGGATTTTTTTTAATGCCATGATTTTCTTTTTAGAAAAGTAAAACCAATAAATGTTTAGTGTTTTTAATATAGAAGTTATACTTTTCAGCAATAAAAATGGGTTCTGTCAATCACAGGCATATGTGGTCCAGGCTTGATACGATATCCCATTAAGCCAACCTGAGTAACAATTAGGATGAAAAAGAAGGAATCTTAAGGAAAAGTGTGGTAGTCCTGATGTTGGTGTTCAGTAGTGGGAACTTAATTCAGTTTGGTGGTAGTATAAATGACTGCCAACCCACATTCTGAGTCGTAGTTCTCTGTTTTCTACATGGACAGTAAAAGTAGCTGAACTGTGTCTGTTGCCACTCACAAATAATAGACCATTAGAGAAACAGTATGAAATAGAAGAACAATGTGATAACTTGTCCGTTATTGCCAGAAAAAAAATTTTTTTAATGCTATTAACATGGACTTAGAGTGCAAAGACAAGTTAAAAACTGAAAACTTTCTAGCTGTTGAATCACTTTGTGTGTGTGAGTAGAATATCTTTGGCTTAAAACTTGTTATTATTTAAAGAAAAGGGTATGTCAGTAACCATTCTAACAGCTGAATTGCCTACCCTTCTTTTTTTGGTAAGTCAAATATTAGATGGTAATGCAACATACATGATTAACTTCCACCTTATCGCCTGCCCTGGCCCTTGAGATATTTGTAAAGGAAACCCTGGGTTTCATGAAATATTATTAGACAACTGAGCTAGGTTCTTTTGCAGCTGTTTGGATTCCTGCATTCTTATTTTCTAAAGATAGTTGTTATTTATACTTTAGATACTTGGTGATCATCATCTACTCACCTTCATTTACCATTGTTTTCTGTTAGTGGGAGCAGCCACTGAGACCAAGAATAACAACTCATTCCCTCATTCATACAGTTACATAATACAGGAAACTATCACCTAAAACAGCCTGGCTGGTTTGGCTCAGTGGTTAGAGCGTCGGCCTGCAGACCAGAGAGTCCCGGGTTCGGTTCCCAATAAGGGCATGTACCACGGTTGCAGTTTGTCCCCAGCCCCGCTTGGGGTCGTGTGGGTGGCAGCCACTCAGTGTCTCTCTCTCACATCCATGTTTCTCTCTCTCTCTTCTTCCTTCTCTCCCTCCGCTCTATCTGAAGATAAATGCAAAAATGTCCTTGGGTGAGGATAAAAAATGAAAATAAGGCAGGGCTTCTTTGCTTTTTTTTAAATCTCTAATCCAAAGGAAAAAATAATTTTACATCTTGACCCGGTATGTATGTATATACATAAATGTATATGTATAAATTTTTATAAAACAAGTTACATAACATAGTTATTCTTGCTAAGTGCGGTATACTCTGATATATTCTATTCTGTTTCTTTTTTTAATTGCTATTCAAGACTGATACATTTCTTTTATCACATTTTAAAAAATATTGACTAACTGACATGATGTATTATAGATTGTACGCTTGAAACCTATATAATTTTATTAACCAGTGTCACCCCAATAAATTCAGTTAACAAAAATAAATAAAAATATTGACCAATCGAAATTAGTTCCTTAAAAACAGTGGTTCTCAACCTTCCTAATGCCATGACCATTTAATACAGTTCCTCATGTTGTGGTGACCCCCAACCATATAATTATTCTTGTTGCTACTTCATAACTGTAATTTTGCTACTGTTATGTCTTAGGCAACCCCTGTGAAAGGGTCGTTCCACCCCCAAGGGGTCATAACCCACAGGTTGAGAAAGCTTAATATTCCTGCTACTTCATTTCAGGATTTGTAACAGTATGTAATTACTTTAAAATCATCTAGCAGTGTCCTTGGCCAGTGTGACTCAGTTGGTTGGGCGTCATCCCTTGTACCAAAAGGTTGTCAGTTTGATTCCCAGTCAGGACACATGCCCCAGTTGCAGGCTCTATTCCCCGATAGGGGTCATGCAGGAGACAGCCGATTGATGTTGCACTCTCACATCAATGTTTCTCTCGCTCCCTTCCTCTCTAAAAATCATTAAGCTATTCTTCTTTTAAAAATCATCTGGCAGTATTTCTAGTTTATGTATAAATTTCTTGGCTGTTTAAGATACTTTTCACAAGTTGTTGAGATTACTATTTGTCCATTGTCATGTGAAACCTACATCTGTCATTGATGCCATTTGCAACATGCATATGGAAAAGAGTGGCAGAAGTCACTCCTCATTTTCCCAACAATGTGGTTGGTAGAGAGCATATGGACTTGGTGCTACATTAATTCTAGAGTACACTTGCTGTTAGAACAAGGCCCTAGATTCATGAATAGAGGGATGCAAAACATGTTTCATAAAGCTTTGACCTTTTCAGTTATTTGGGTACTTTCTCAAAATTCATGCAGTTTTCCTCTGATTTTAATCTCACATTTTAGGGAATTTATGTGATATAGTTGAATGAAATTGTCTCCTGTTTAATTGTAGACCAAATGGCATACGGTGTGTCTTTTATAATCACCTCTTTAATAGCATATTTGCTATTAATAGGAAAAATACTCTATATAATTTTTAATTGCTTTTGACAAACACTTGTATGTTTTCTCTCTTGAGCCTCCTAATCAAGTGAGGTCTGAAGAGCATTTTTGTATTGTTGCCTTTGCTGTAACAAAACAGGTTTGAGTATTTAACTGATGAGTTTTGTTGTTCATTTAAACTTTTTTCTAGAATGATCACTAAGTGGCACATATTCGGAAACCCAAATTCAATATTTCAGCTACTTTTCTTTAGATTCACTGATTTGTTATTATTGGTTTGTGACTCAGAATATTTTTTAGTGCTGACGGGGCATTGAGATTGACATTCCAAATGCATTTTTGCTTTTCAATCCTATAGGCCCTGGCCTATTTTGAGCAGTTAAAAATCTCCCCTGATGCCTGGCAGGTGTGTGCGGAAGCTCTAGCCCAGAGGACATACAGGTAATTAAAACAAAATTTACATGACTCTTAGAATTTAAATTTCTGTGAACTTGACAGGACTTAAATTTACCTGTATTTGGAGAATGTTTTCATAAAAACATTTTATGACTTGTTTTTTGAGAAATCATTCAGTGTAGAAATGAGAAAAATAGTAAACTAATAATTTGGCATTCCAGGATTGACTTTTCAGTAAAACCTTGCTTCATGCCATGTACCTGACAACAGATCCCAACCGGAATATATTACAGTAAAAACTTCCTTATTTTCTTACGATGTGATAGTTTGTTTTCTAAAAAGTTGGTAATCATAAATTATATATCTTAATTTTTAATTTTAATTTAAAGTATATAAACATTCAATTACCAGTCTTTTTATTTTTAATGTGGAACACTTCGCGAATTTGCGTGCCATCTTTGTGCAAGGGCTGTGCTAATCTTCTCTGTGTTGTTCCAATTTTAGTATATGTGCTGCCGAAGAGAGCACTGAGTCACCAATCTTGATGTTGGACCAAGGTCTTCTCTTTGTGTATATTCTGCTAGCGTTCACTTTATCATTCTTACGTTGATCAGACCCATAATCCATCCTCTATAGTTGCCACTTGGGGTCTCTGTAGTGAATTGAGGAACAATGAATGCAGGTTCCTAAACTTTTTAGTTATTTGCCCCCACCTTTCCAAGTCTTGTGGTTATGTAGCCCACATCACATATGTACACGGATTTCCCCCTGTAGTGGGACTGCCTGTGAACTCTTTCTAAAGTGTTTAACCTGGTTTTTACAAAAATAAGAACTCTCATCATACTCATTTCATTAGTTAATATAATAGTTAATTAAGTTACTTCATTACAGAAGAGGTACAGCTGGCATAGTGAGACTTGTAGAAACACAACTGACCAGCTATAAGTGAGTAGAAGTTCCTGGCAGTTAGTGATGGCTCCTAGCCAAGTTCTCGGCATGCTGTGGATACCAGTCACTACATTTTTATAGACGAAACCAAGTGCTCCAGCTTAGTGAAAAAGTTGATTTGAAGAACATCTATATGTCTTAGAGTAAATAAGGACTGGCTTTTAATTAAAGGATTCTTATAGTTTATTTTTTTGAGTGGGAAAAAATTTAACTCTTATATAATTAGTTAGGGCCTCAGTGTCATCCATGATAAGGATAGAAACCCTAAGGTCTTAGAAGAGGTGCTAAATTAACCTAACTTGAAAAACACTCTTAAAAGATTAAGTTTCAGCCTTGACCATGTGGCTCTGTTGGAGCTCCGTCCCATATACCAAAAGGTTTCAAGTACGATCCTCAGTCAGGGCATGTATGGAGGCAACCTATCGATGTTTCTCTCTCTCTCTCTCTAAAAATATCCTTGGGTGAGGATTAAAAAAAAAATTTAAGTTTCATTTTCATACAGGTGAAAATATTTCATTTGGTTAATTCATGTTGTCTAAATGACAATAACATCTCCACTCTTGTGGTGACCAGTTAGCTTTATATATGAAAATATATGAAAATCATGTCCCATGAATAAGCTTGGCTCAAACTAACTATTCTTGGATGAATAGATTTTTCTTCACTGAAGTGACTTTGTCAGAGTTTGTAGCTGGCTCACTGCAACTGTGGGTCACCCCTAGGGAGACAGTTGAAAGTTGATAATTAGGGTATACTGACTTTTGCTCCCCTTTTATAAGGGTAATATATTTGTAGCTTGGTTTTCTGTATGACTTTTGAGGCTACACTCCTAGTCCAGATGACTCTGCTTATTTTGGATTTTGCTGCAATAGAACTGTCTAGGGTTGAATTTTAAGTATGACTTTGATGACCATCTCTGATTTAACTCAGTCTCTATTAGTTCTACCATTAATCATTTTAACACCTAGCCTTTAGGAGTTGTTCCAGGAATTCTGATATCTAGAATTTAGCTGGGGTTGTAGTGGGGATTGTCATCTGTTTGCAAAGTACTATACTTAAGGTGCATCTGATTTTGTTTGGTGTTTCCACTTACCAGATTTAGTGGAAATATTGAATACTATATATTTAAAGTTCTCTTAGCTTTTTAAACAAACAGATATGAATGTAATAAGTGAGATCAATAAGCAGAAAGCAAGCCAAAGTAACTGAGTAACTTTTTAACTGTTATTCATTAATACTTTATCTTTGATCTGTTTGCCCCAGTTCATATTTTGCTTATCTAATTTTCTTTTTCCAGCGATGATCACATAAAGTTTTTCTGCTTTCAAGTATTAGAACATCAAGTTAAATATAAGTAAGTCTTTTTCTCACTGTTTGACTGAAGTTTGTGGGGAGAGGTCATTTTTTTTAAATTAGTTTTTCCCTTTTTAGGGAAACCATAATACAGGTTATAAATTATCAGTATATGTCCCATCCAGTTAATAGATGTATTTTTTGATTTGTCACAAAGTGTTTTTAAAATACTGAATTCATTGGTTACATATAAATATCCAACCATTTCACAGAGAAAACAAAATAGATTTCCAGATTCTCTGGAAATATCAGAAGATGTAGCAGCACCCAGCCTGTTTTCCTACAAGCCCACTCTCAGTTAGTAGAGTGGCAGCATGGGCACTTGTATTCAGAGCCCCTGCCTTAATTAAGTGTGAACAATGAATCACTGCTCAGAGGACCCCGAGTTTGTCCTGCTGGTTTATTCCATAAACCACAGACCTCAGAACATGAACTTAACCTCCGTTTGAAATATTATGTAGCTGCCATTTTCTCAACATGAACCGAACCACAGTTTAAAGTAATCAGTGCTGATGCCCCACCTGCCACTCCCACACCTATCTTTTTCTTACAGCAGTGATGAGGAATGGGCATTATCAATTATTTTAAGGAATTTTAGATACTTGAGTGCTCTACATATTTTCTTTTTAAAATATATGAGGCTCTTATTTTTAAAAACCATAGATACCAAATATAGCCATTATTATTTTTCTTTTCTATTTTGAACAGATATTCAGAACTAACTACTGTTCAACAACAACTAATTAGGGAGACGCTCATATCGTGGCTTCAAGCTCAGGTAAAATTGTAATTTTATTCAGTACCTCAAATTACCAGACATTTAAATTTTTGCAAGACTTTGCACCTTTACCTCAAAAATATTGGTCATTTATCCTTCATTTGATCCTGTAGCTTTTTTAGAAAGTGCTGCTTTTGAAGATCATGAGTAGAAGAAAATTTCGCAATAATTTTAAGTTGTATCATAATTGAAACTATCGTTCTTTCTATGACAATTGTGGAAACTTTGGTTTTAAAATGTAATTTTTTTTTACTACTTGACAAAAGCAGCTTTTCTGTTCACTCTTAAAGGTGAGCCCCCCCCCCCCCAGGGGACTGTAAAGTTCAGCATCAGGAATATAGTCAATAATATTGTAATAACTGTGTCTGGTGCCAGGTGGGTACTAGACTTATCAGAGGGGATCACTTTGTAAATTACATAAATGTCTAACACTATGCCGTACACCTGAAACTAATATAAAATAAAATTGAATGTCAACTGTAATTACATTTTTTTAATGATGAAAAATATATATATTATAAAAAAGGTGAGCCCTCCTGGACAGCCTCTTTACAAAGACCCCTTTTCAAATGGACCAATAGAGTTCTTTATTCACAGTATGTTCTTGTTAATTTTAGCTCATTTTAATGTATGTATAAAGCAGTTGTATAGTTAGACTTTTTATTTTTCATAAAGAACAAGCAGCTAGAAGAAAAACAACTGAATTTTTTCCTTAGAAAAATCGATAAGAACTGGTAAAACTCTGCACATGAAACGTTGAAAGTATGAGAATGAAAAAATAAGTGTGAGAATGAGAAGTAACCATTGGCACCTTTGTTCATTTGATTGTTCCCCATCTGCTTGGTTGCTTAAATACTTTGGTAATTTTTAAGCATATTCGTTGCACAGCTAATCTGGACCATGTTGAAGTTTGATGTGTTTTTACCTGTTAATAATAAATCAGAAGAGAGTGTGTTTGAATATTTTCAATTTACATTTAATTTCATGGACTGTTTCTCTGATTATCAGATGCTACATCCTCAACCAGAGAAGACCTTTATACGAAATAAAGCAGCCCAAGTCTTCGCCTTGCTTTTTGTTACAGAATATCTCACTAAATGGCCCAAGTTTTTTTTTGACATTCTCTCAGTAGTGGGCCTAAATCCCAGGGGAGTAGATCTGTACCTGCGAATCCTCATGGCTATTGATTCTGAGTTGGTGGATCGTGATGTGGTGCATACATCAGAGGCAAGTAACTCCCCATTAGCGTTTAGTTTGGGGCTTTTTTACTTAATTTTATTAATTGATTAGGAAGAGAGAGAGAAGCACTGATTTGTTGTTCCACTTATTTATGCCTTGGTTGCTTCTTATATGTGCCCTGACCAGAGTTTGAATCTGCAACCTTGGCTTATAAGGAGGATACTCTAACCAACTGAACTACCCAGCCATGTCTGAATTTTTAGTTTTTAATGTAATATAGAAAATAATAGGCACATAATAAAAGGAACATAAATAATCTTATTTTTGAGACCAACTTTCTTAAGAATAATTATAACTTTACTCAATATTTTGAATTTTGTTTTACAAAGGAACATATATTTGTGTTGTCATGTCCTCCACCCCCAGTGTAGGTTGAAATTAGAGTATTTTAGATTTTTTTTTTTAAACCAGATAAGCACCTTCTCCAGTGAAATACACAAATTTATTTTCTCCTATGAGTTTATAGGGAAATGTGGTCTATATTTACTACTGTTGTATAGTCACTAAGTAAGAAGCATTGCTTATAAATCAGTGCTGGGTTCTTCTGTATTCTCAGTTACAAAGCCCATCACCTTAGTCTTTCTGTATTTTATTGCCCAATATGATCTCCGTTTTTTTGTTTTGTTGTTTTTTTTTAAATTTTTTTCCTCTCTTGATTTCAGAGAGAGAGGAAGTGAGAGGGAGAGATAGAAACATCGATAAGAGAGAAAACTGATTGGCCGCCTCCTGCATGGCCCTCACTGGAGATTGGGCCCACAACCTGGGCATGTGTCCTGACTGGGAATCAAACCGGCGACCTCTTGGTGCATGGGTCAATGCTCAACCACTAAGCCACACTGGCCGCCCGATCTCTGTGTTCTTAACACAATAGAAATAGCTTAATTCAAGTGTGTATAATAATTTTAAGTTCATTATATTCCAAACACTTATAACATTTATAGAGGTTATTATCATGCATTTAAGTTATTACCACTCTCTTTAGTTTAAATATGATGTTTGTATTATATTGAGCAATAACTTACCACATACTTAAGGTTTCTAAGTAATGCTTATTTATAGTTTGTGTTTAATAAAAGATCAAGTCTGGCACTGAAGAATAGAACGGAAAGAGGAAATAGAATCACCAGATATGATTTTACAGCTGATAAATAGGAAATGTGTTGAAAGTCTGGAAGTTTAGTGGTGAGCTAATTACTATGTGCAACTATTC